CCCTATAAAAAGCACTATATACTGTGAATCCTGTGAAAGCCTGAACTCAACAGGACTACCTTGATTTTCCTAGTCCCCAGTTTTCTGCCTTTGACAGGGTGCAGTCACTACTTTTCTATAGCTCACTTTAGTGGAAAATATTTTAGTTTTCTTTCTTTGACAGGTTTCTGCCTTATACAGGTTCCAGCTTTCATATATGTTCTTAGAGACACGAATATTACAGTAGCAATAATTAATTCTAAGAGGCCAAACATTGCTATTTATATAGAATAAAATACAGCAGTGGTTTCCAAACTGGTGGTGATGTTAATAATGTATGTTGTTGTTATGTGCCATCAAGTCAGACCCAACTCATAGAGACCCCTCCCCGGGTTTCCAAGGCAGTATCACTACGGAAGTAGATTGCCCAACCTTCCTTCTGAGGAGTGGCTGGCGGGTTTGAACTGCCAGCCTTCTGGTTAGCAGTCAAGTGCCTTAGGCACTACGCTACCAAAACTCCTTTAATAATGTATATGACTTGTTTAATATTGTACAATGAAATGTGTCTTCACTTAAATCTGCCTAATTCAGTAAACCATTATTTTCCAAACGACCAATGTATGCGTGAAAGATTCTTTCGAAGAGCCAGACAGATCAATGGGTTTTAATGTCACAGAGTATGAAAAGTCCACTGATACGGTTTGAAAATCTACATTGCAGCTAATCTTCAAGAACTGTTAGGTTTTGGTAAGTATCAAAGAAAAATATCTATAATTACCTAAAAATGTTATTAAAATATTCTTTCCTTTTCCAATTACATATTAAGTGAGGATAGATTTTCTTCAAACACTTCAACCAAAACCACATATTAGAAGAGATTGAATACAGAAACACACAAGACTATAGTCATTAACCAAAGAAAAATATTGCCATCAATTCAATTCTGATTCACAGTGACCCTACAGGACAGTGTAGAGCAACCCCGTAAGGTTTCCAAGGCTGTAAATCTTTATGGAAATAAATTGCCACATCTTTCTTTCACAGAGCATCTGGTAGATTCAAACCACCAACCTTCTGGTTGGCAGTTGAGTGCTTTAACCACTGTGCCACCAGTGTGCCTTCTAGTCATTAAGAGATATGAAAGATATTTGCAAAAAACATAAAAAATGCCACTTTTCTCATTGTTAACATTTTTATGTTTGGGAAAATAGTCGTTTTTCATTAAAATGTTATTTATGTTAAGATGCAATAAGTTTATTATTATTTTTAAATGTACCAATATATTCTTTAAAATTTTATCACTTTTAATATCTAATATGGTTTTAAAAAGAGCTCTGGTGGCATAATGCCTAAGGCACTTGACTGCTAGCCATAAGGCTGGTGGTTCAAACCCACCAGCCACTCCTCGAAAGGAAGGTTGGGCAATCTACTTCCGTAGTGATACTGCCTCAGAAACCCAAGGAGAGGTTGCTATGAGTCTGAGTTTTATGGCTTTAAAAGTGCAAAAGAATCCCGAGACCAAAAAGTATCTGAATTACTAAATTACATGCTTCAATATGGACGAATCTCAGAAACATAAGGTTAAACAAAAGCAACTCACAGAATACATGGTATGATTGTAAATAAAGCTCACATATAGGCAAAAGTTAACAAAACATATTGGTTAAGGGCACATACATAGGTGATAGAGGTATTGTCTTGTTTCTCTAGTGCTGCTATAACAGACATACCAATAATAGATGGCTTTAACAGGAATTTATTCTCTCACAGTTTACAAGGCTAAAAGTCGAAATTCAGAGTGCTGGCTCTAGGAACTGGGTGAAGGCTCCTCAAGATATACCTCTGCCTCTTATTTCAGGCCCACTGGAGCTGGAGGCTTCTTTCTGACTCACGTAGCTACCAGCTGCTAAAGCTGACAAACTCAAGGTCAAAAGTTAAATGGTATGATAGTTGGAGCTGTGTATCAACTTGGCTGGACCATAATTGTTTGGTTTAAGCAGTTGTGATGTGATTATTCCCATGATGGGATCAGATGAAGATGTTTTGAGTAGCCAATCCGTTGAAAGGGAGTTGCCCTAGGGGTGTGAAATACTTCTAGTATATTTATGGACAT